TGTCGTCGCTTCGCTGGTTCGATCCAGCATCGCCACATGCATCATCGCCCGGGAAGCAGCCCGTTGAGGAGCGACGAAGCGCATCGATGACTTTGGAAAAGGTGCCGGGGGGTAAGGCGGCGATTGGGGCTAATATTGATGCTATGGTGGCGGCAACAATGGAGGCTGAGATGGCGGGAGGAGGCCAGCCAACTCGTCAGAGCAAGGTAATTTTGGTCTAGCGGTAATGCATATGTTTCTCCACCGAGTGGCTGTGGGTTCTATCCTGGCCTCTGACCTTTTTAACGCTTAAACTCCTGCCCAGGTTGCTCCACCTCCGCCGGCCGAGGTGAGATCCGCAAGGTCCACGGAAGCATCGAAAGGGAATAATAAAATCGATGAAGATGCCCCAGCGGGTGAGCTCGGGAGACTGTATTCAAATGGAAACGCACTGCATCTCTGACAGATTCCACCAGGTCGAGATCCTTCACCCTGCAGGAAGCCGGTCAGTCGATGGACCACGCCCTGAAGGCTAAGCAGAAGCTGATACAAGCCCATCTAATTGATCATGAGAAGAAGTTGGTGGACCAGCAGGAACAGCTGAAAAAAGTAGTATGAGGTGGTGAAGGCTTCTCTCAGTTCAGTTTCCCAAGGTCCGACAAAAGCTGGATCGGCTGGAACAAGATCAGGCTGCTGAGATTGCCCAGATGCAGAAGAGTGTGGACCATCTTAGTCGGGAGTTGGCTATCCGGGAGAAGGAGGCGACTCAGAAGAAGGCTATAATGGAGGAGGCCAATAAGGAGTAGTAGTAGTAGTAGTAGTAGTAGTAGTAGTAGTAGTAGTAGTAGTAGTAGTAGTAGTAGTAGTTGAGGCTATGTACTCGCACTTCGTTGTGGGGGAGAAATGAAATCGAAGATTTGTTTTGTAGTTAGAGTGTTGGGGTTCTTGACACGTGGATATGGCAATTTACTGTGTATATGAATTTGGCGTGATCGAACCGGTGGTTAACGAGGAGCTTAGTTCAGTAGTCGTAATAGAGGCCGTAGCGGCCACCACGATTCTGATGCCAGTTACTTGGCAGCGGCTGAGTCCCTCGATGCATGTAAGAGGGAGAAGACTGAGACTGAGAGGGTCCTTATGGAGCTCCTCCTCAAGGCAGGAGAGTCTCGAGATAAGGTCATGAACGAAATGCTGCACAGCTTGGACACCTTATAGAATCTTGCATTTCCTCAACGGCGTTCCTCCTGTCCGACTGTTCCATTTTGAAT